AAAAACCCATCGTTCAGATCTCCTGAGCAGAGCACAGTTGACTGACAGCCTGATCTGTTGTCCTCTGAGTACAGTGCCATTTCTGAAAGAGATGGGCTACTTCTCCATCGACTTGGTTGACGTTTTCTCAGAAATGGGCTATTATCAGAGATTGTTTTTACTCAATCCTTCTCTCTCTTTTTTCTTTACAGATGTCAGATTTGCATCATGGTCTGAAAGTTCTTCCCACCTTCTCTAGACTTCTCCCGTTTATCCATCAAGGCCTTCCCCCTCCACCTCCCCAGGTAAATGTCTTTCATGTAATTGGTATTACAATAATCACTCATCTTGGCATCTGCTTCTCAGAGGATTTGAATTAACACAAAGTTTGGAGAAAATATAAATAATTTGCAGTTAGATGTGGTAATAATGACATATTTATTGGATATTCAGGTGTAGATATTGAACAGGCAGTTGCATACAAAAATCTGAAGATGCAGGAAGTGGGGGGGAGGGCTAGTCTGGAGACAAATTTGGAAGTTGACTATCAATGATACTTAAGCCATGAAACAGGATGGGTTTATGAACGGGGCAATGTAAATAGAGAGGAGAATAGATCTGAGGATTAAATCCTGATTAAACATCTCAACCAGAAAAGATGAATGAGCAGTGGGGTAGAGGGAAATCAGGAGAGTGCAGTGGACTGAAAGTCAAGAGAAGAAAGTGTGTCTAGCAAGTCAATAACCTTATAAAATGCTGCTGATGGATCAAGCAATATGAATTCTAAGAATTAATGACTGAATTTATCAGTGATTGGGATAATCGCTGACCTCGAGAAGAACAGTTTTAGGATACGTAGAGTTGGGAGGCTGATTTGAGTGGATTTTCAAGAAAGAATAGGGAAAACAGTGAATATAGAAATGGAGTAAGTGAATATAGAAAATGCTATCAAGGAGTTTTGCCATAAAGGAGACCAGGGAATGGGGTGTGTCCTAGAGGGTGATATAGGTTCTAGGAGCTTTAAAAATTCATTTGTTTGCTTTTGTTTTTATTTTTAAGATGGGAACAATTAATCATGTTTTTGTGTTAATAGAAATGATCCCCTAGCAAGGGGGAAAAGTGATGGTGTAATAGGGAGAGGGGGAAGGCTTCCTGAAGCAATGTCCTAGAGTTGGAGAGGAGGGGTAGGATGGACAGTTCAATTCACATAATAGGAGGAAAGGCAGAGTGAATAGGCACAGGTGGAGGTAGGTGGATAAATGTGGGTGTCGGCCCTTGTGGAAAATGTGATTCTATTTTCTCAGTGAAAGTGGAATGAAAAGGAGGTGTTAGAGGTCTATATTTATCTAGAGAGAGTGAATACATTCAGGAATTGCAGTATGATTGCCTAGCAGCATTAAGAACCCATTTGGGGTTGTAGGCAAGAATGTAAAATGAGAGCAGTCTGCATACATTGGTTTTTTCTGTACTCATGATCAGCTCTGCGGAGGCAGGCACAAGTAGGCACTGGACTGGATTTAATTAGGCTTTGGGTCTTACTGATTGAATACCAAAAAGGAAGAGGGGGGCAATGGAGTTGAGGGGGTAGGCAAGGGAGTGATTCTAATATAAGGCAAGTGAGGACATGGAGATGGTGAGTATTCAGGTTTCCCATTAACCCTAAAGACATCATGTAAGCAATTACCTGCAGAGTTTATGAGTAAAACTCTCCTTATGTGACGTTTTTTTAAAGTTTATTTATTTTGAGAGAAAGAGAGAAAGAGTGTGCACCAGCAGGGTACGGGCAGAGAGAGGGAGAGAGAGAATCCCAAGCAAGTTCCATGCTGTCAGCACAGAGCCCAGTGTGGGGCTCAATCTCAGGAACCATGAGACCATGACCTGAGCCAAAATCAAGAGTCAGATGCTTAACTGACTGAGCCACCCAGGCACCCTTACATTTTTATTTCATGTATCAGCATGGCTTGGAGCAATGTTGGGAGTGGTGGTGCTTTGCGAAGGAAAATCACCAAGGGAAGCACTAACACATGTCATTTGCCAAATGGTATCTTGGGCCAGAATTGAAGGACTGATAAGACAGAGATATTAATGGCTAATATTTCAAAAGAGCAGGCTTTTCATGTTAACAAAATGTTTCAGTGGAAATGTTTGTCGAAGCATTAATCTTACCCTATGATAATATTTTGCTTGGATAACTTGGGCCAGCATATATATTCTCTGCAAGGGCTTAGTCAAAAGATTTTAATAGGAGTAGGAATTCCACAATGAAACACAGTACTAAGATTTCTACCTCAGTTAACTTCTTTGTGCATCTAATTCATTATACTTAATACTACTTTGTATTAAAATGACAAATACAACAATTCCTTGTATATACAGGAAAAAAACCCGGTAAAACACGAACATCACGCCAGTTCTACTAGAGATACCACAGTGATTTCTTAAAATTGCTCTTTTAGGTACTCAAGCATTACCTCTGTGCACACAAATGTTTTTAATTAGTGTTGTCTAAATAGCTTAAAGAAAGCCAATAATTCCATTATTGATATTTCCAAACAAATTAAATATATTGTTTTATAGCAATAAGTCTTACATTTCTGAAAAATATCAAATGTTTTTTTAAACGATGGGATATAAAATTAACAGATACTTCATATGTTACTTAAATTAAATTTGGTTTGCTTATATGTACATTGCTGAATAAGTACACTGATATTTTATATAACAGCAAAGGTGACTAAGCAGTGGTATTTAAAATTTCTTTTGAAATGTCCACATCTTGACAAAATATATACTACTAACATACCACATTTGTGAAGAACATGCTTAGAGTCTTTGGTGGTAGAAAAAAAAATCTATATAGAATACATATGGTTTTTTCATTTTTCTTATTTTTTGTTTTATAGCTACTAATTATTCTAAAGATAGTATTTTTCTTGTCTTATAATGACTGTAAGGCATGACAATGACCTTTCCTTATAATCAACATTCTACCTCTGAGAATAAGCTGAAATTTTTCTTAAGGCATAGTAAACCTCTCCATACACAAGAAATTGACTTGCCTGCCTACAAAGTGAATCCCTATCCACAACTGTGTGGGAATAATGAAATCTATAATATGACTTTTGGGAGTATCATTTTCAGGGTTCAGCAGATTAGGATTCATTCCTGGCTCTGACACCTGTGTATGGGGTGTGTGAATTTAGCCAGGTTACTTCACCCTCCTATGACTCCATTTCATCATCTGTGTTCCCCTCACACTGTTGAATAGAATATTAAATACAAGAGAGTAGGACTTGGTCTGCTTTAAGAATCCCTAGTGCCCAGCGCACAAATGGGTCCTAAATAAGTGTTTGTTGAATAAATAAATGTAATACTTAAAGCAGGATAACAGTAATTGTTTAATAGGGATATTTTGGGATTAATGACATAATACATCTTGGGCATAGAGCACAGTCCTAGGTCAGAGCAACTATTCTTAATGGGGAGAGTTCTAGAGAAGCCACAGTAAGTTTGGCTTCTGTGTCTTATCTCCCCTTCAGATTATGGGTGGGATTTATACTAGAATTAGTGACCCTATGCTATCTTCCAGCACCTGTGCATTGTGTAAGAGGGAAAATATTTACTTTATTACCATTCATATCTCCTACATCTTTCACGATATTTGGGAGAAGTGAAAACAGGCCAAGTGGATTAAAATATTTTAACATACAACCTAAAGCTCATGACACCACTGAAAATGTTTTCAGAGCTTAAACACCAAACACCAGAGGTAATATACATGATATTTTATTGATTTAAGAGGTGTATTTAAAACCTTACTTATCCAAAATCTGGACGGATTTTATAATCAATGGCATCTTATAATTGACTGGGTTCTCTCTTCTTTCCTTCCTTTCTTCCTCCCTCTTCTTCCTCTTTCCCTCCCTCCCTCCCTTCCTCCCTCCCTTCCTTCCTTCCTTCCTTCCTTCCTTCCTTCCTTCCTTCCTTCCTTCCTTCCTTCCTTATTTCCTCCTTCCTTTCTCTGTCCTTCCTCCCTTCTGTCCCTACCCCTCTCCTTCACTCCATCCCTTTTGTTTTCGTGGTTCATAATATAATAAGGTGTTTTAACTAGAATTGATGAAATATGGTATAGCCATATATTAAAGCAGTATTTCTCAATATGTATTTCTTATCACCACCCAACCCAGGCAAGGAGCCTTTTAGGCATTTTTTTCTCTAATTTTCCACTTCATGAAATTTTAACACCATAGGTATACTCTATATCTGTTTATGTATTGCATGTATGTATGTGTTTTCTGAATAAAAGGACTGATTTTTTTTCCCCCCTAAGAACCAATATCATCCCTTTGGGACACTATTACACCCACTGAGAAGGCAGGTATTAAAGTGACACTCCATATCACTCTTAGTTTTTAAAAACTCATTTACTAGAATATTGGGAATCATCAACTAATTCTTAGGTTTAGAACTTTTGGTTTTAATCATATAACAGAATGTCTAGGAATTTTATCATTATCACAAATGACCGTCAAATGCTGTCAAATGCGTGCAAAGTTGGAACATTTGCTATTTACCCCAAAAGCCAGAAAGCTATCTATAATATTTTTGTTAACAAATAAAAGATTTTCAAGTTCATCCAGTGATATCAGTCAACATATCATTCTCATTTTATGAAATAAGACTATTTAATACTTTTAGTGTATATTTTTAGGATGTTCACTACTTCACCTTTACACATTCGTGATTTTAAAGACATAATTTGAACACCACATCAATAAAGAGATTTTTAAAGACCATCTAATTTCCAAGGGGTACAAGAGAAACCTGCTTTAGGCTACACTACTGCACTCCGTGGAGACGATGAGAATGTACAGTTCTTGAAGCCCCTGTTCTGTCAGTGGTTAAGCAGCCTGGGGATTCCCACCTCCAACAGTAATGACTGAAATCAGAAGTTAGTCCCTCTGTGATGAGTGGTTTGCACCAGAGGGAAGACACCTTCTATGGCTATCAAATCAGGATTTGCGCTTGCAAAGCTAATTGTTGTATGTAACAACTTTAACCGATGGAGGAAGGAGTGATTTATTTACTTGAAGAATGTCCAGTATGTTCTTAAATGTTCACTTACCTTTTCTCTGGGCCGTGTAGCTTAACTCCCATTCTTTTTACATTAGTGGTGCAAAAAACCTTAAAATTAGTGATGCATAAAACTTTTAACTTTGTTGGATGTATTGCACTATTATATTTGACAATCCAGACATTTGGCCTACTTGTATTGGGTTATGTTAAATGACTATTTTTTGCGGCTCAACTGTGTCAAAACAATGTGCACTCGATTTGGGGGACGTGAACTATTCTAGCAGACCAAGCAAAATATCAGCAAAAACTAACACAGGTGGTATACTCAAAAGAGACTCTTCAACAGTACATAGACATCCATATCAAGGCTTTATCAGTTGAGTTAGTTGTACACAAGCTTTTGTAAATAAACTGAAAGTGGCTTCAAAACCAGAAATCATCTCCTCCACTGCTCCTAGTACTTGCCCTTTCTCTGCCTTTTAACCGAAGCATCTCCATGATACTCCGGGCATAGACATCTCTCAAGTTCACACTGATGTATGAGTCAGTGGCTATATTCTTGGTAAGCTTCTTCAGAGCTTCGCGCTGTCTAACAGCTGCTTCCTTGAGCTTTAAGGTGAAATAGCAAGCGGAGAAGCGGTCGTTAATAATAGCAATAGGCAAGGCCAAGACAAGGATTCCTGATAATATGCACATGAAGGCCACGATTTTGCCTGTGGTGGTGTCTGGTCTAATGTCCCCGTATCCCACAGTAGTCATGGATGTTGTGGCCCACCACCATGCACAAGGGACACTTGTGAAGGTTGTGTCAGGAATACTCTGCTCAGCAAAATATTCCACAGTTGAAAATATAGAAATTCCCACAGACAAAAAGAGGAGCAGTAGGCCGACTTCTTCATAACACTGGGTGATTGTCATCCCGAGTGAGCGTAATCCTGTAAGAGAACAACTGCTGTCAGTCCCTGGGCACCTCTTCCCTCCCCCACCCCTCTGCTTTCCTCCCTTCCCTCTCCTTTCTGACTATCCACCCACAAATGTGCATTTCACATCTAATATGTCTGCAGCATTGGGCAGTGGTTCTGGGGATAGAGATGAAAAATCATTATCTTTTTCTTCAGGGAGCTCATAGTCTAGTTGGTGGGGCCAGACTGAAAAAGACAGAAAGAAATATTTACTAAACACCTACTATTTATACCAAAAAAAGTGACAGATGAGACTAAAAAGCAGGCAGTGGATGTATGATGGAAATTATATGTTAATCCACAAAATGGGAGGCCTGTGCAGCATCGCAAGTGGAGGGCTCACTTGGCAGACGTGCATTTCAATGTACCGCTTTGGCACACTTTTCTGATGCTGGTTTTATGCTGTCTCTTTACATTTGATGTGTCTGCTTTACTCACCCTCCCAATGAAGTTGAACATAATCAGGGTATTGTTATCTGAAAGCCAGAAGGGGTAAAGGATGTCCTCCATGAGAATAAAGTGAGTGAGGCATCATATGCAAGCTGACGTGAGAACATCATGTGCAATCATGGGACATTCTTAACGGTTTACCATGTCCTGAACTTCCATGACACCCACTGAAATGTGCACCCTTAATACCAAAGCCATGGGGAAACATTTCCCTTGAGTACATAGAATTTCTGCTTTCCTGTACGGAGATAGACTAGAATACAGATTATTCCTTTCACTGCAGAAAGGTATGGGGGACTGAAGCTACTAGAAAATTCATTCACTGTGAGGCAGTGGTGTGTTCCCTATTACTATTCTGAGGACATATGGAACCCCTGGGAGACACACCCAAGAGAATCCAATCCCATCTCTAGAGAGACTCAGCCCCTAAGGAGAGTCAGTTGAGCCCATAATGGGATTACAATTTGAATAAGGTATCTCCCCTGACAACTAGAGTTCCCGAACACTGCTAAAAGCGTATCCACGTTTTGAAGTCATATCAGTCTGAAGCCAAAATGATACTGTCTCTGAAGGTCGAAGTAATATCTCCTAGAATTATTTTAATTTTATTCACTAGAGACTATTTAAAATTCATTAAAATACCATTTGTGCTCTCATTATTTTTAAATTTTGTTCTTAAAACTTTGAGATATTCTTAAATTATGTACCAAGTATTTTTAAAGATTGAGGAATATTAATTTTGACGTTTAACTTCAAAAGAAGATTTTTTTAAGACTACCTTTAGAATACCTTTTAGAAAACTGGCCTTGATGTGTCTGCATTGAATTGTATTTCTGAAATAAACTGACCACATTTGAGAAAAACCACAGTGAGGAGACTGTTTTCATTTCAAGATGAAATGTTCTAAATAATTTTGTAAAGAAAAACAAAGTTGTCTGAATTTCTGCACATTACATCTATTAACTCAGATAATCCTCAAAAAACAATAGGAGATTGATGTAATTATTAGGCAATTTTACAGATGAGAAGATTGAGGCACAGAGAAGTAGCATAAATAGTACAAAGTTACTGAGCCAGGATTTAAACTTAGGCTCTCTGGTCCTCCTGTTATTCTATAATACCTCTCAACTTATATTTATAGTTTAATACATGGGGAAATATGTCACCTACATCTACATTTTGCTAAATGTAATGTTTAAGATAAAATTGTCAAATATTTATGGAAGCATTCATATCCTTTCAATAAATTAAGTCTTTATTAATACTTTGTACTGCTTTGGAACTGAAAAAAACCTTTGAAGACGTGACATTGTGGAAATTACTATTATTTTCTTTTTCTTTTCTTTTAGGAGCAAATGTAGTCTTTACTGGGTGTTTTTAAATTGAATCATGTGAAGAGTTTATAAATACTAGAAGAAAGCATCCTATTATGTGTGTCAGAAAACAAAGAGTGGTACTTGTAAAAGTTGTTGGAAACCCCATTATCACACCGCTGGTATGGGAGACTAGCTAGGAAAATACACTACCAAAATTATGTTCGAATAAGTCCTAATTACCTCAGAGATGTGGGGGAAAAACATATTTGAGGTTAATTTCTCCCTATATTAATAGGAAGTGACAACCACCACAAACTTCTTTGAGGTGACCAACCAGGCACATATCTGGCGGAATAAGGTGGAAATAGCTAAATTATTTGTATTCATGTGTGTTGTATTAATATGTATCATATTAACATGGCATCCTACTGGAGTGTTTCTTAATGTATGGTCCATCAAAATCACTTGTAAGCTTGTTAAAATGTATGCTCCTTGATCCAACCCCAAATACTAACATCTGACTCCTCATGGATTGGAGATCAGAATTTGCCTTCTAACAAGCTTTTCAAGGGATTCTTGTTCTTATTTTCATTAAAATCTAACATCAGTTAACACATATATACTCCAGAACACCCAACAGCCATAGGACCAGCCACTGAAAATTGCCACCCTCAGGGAAATAGGGATCATCTGTAATGGATTTGTGTGACTTCCCCTGACATTGTCTGTAACTTTCATGCACGATTGTTGTTGTGTGGGAACTTTTCTAGGGGGAATGTTCATTAGATTTTCAAGCCTTCATATGATACAAGCTAAGGAATTTCTGTTACCATCTCTCTCATTCATCGCACTTTAGGGACAAGAAAATTCTTAGATACTAGACAAAGCATTTAGTAATTAGTATCTTCTGCTTTCTTCCAAAGCAAATATTTCCATTGCTTTGTCAAAAATTATGGGGCGGCAAACAGTGCCTGGTCATCTCACTTTCTGCATGGCCAGAGAAAGCATTGCAAGACTGACTTTTTTTTTTTTTTTTTTTTTTTTGCCAAGGAATGTGTGTGGTAAGCCCTTCCTTGGACACAGAAGAGAAACTGGCTTATGTCCTTATGTATCATGAATAATTTCTGCATCTCTTTTAACGTGCTGTTTATACATATATTATCTAGAACTTTCTTCAGGCCGAGTGTCTTTAATTTTTGTACATCTTCTGAGCAGCCGGTTGAAATAAATTGAGGTTAACAAGTGGTCAAATTGTTTCTTACATGTCATATCGAGAGAAGGAGTGTGGGCGGCATCTTCTTTACACTTGTGATAACAACTTCCCAGCACCATTTTGGTTGGGTAAAGTATGGGAGTTGGTAATTTTGAGTATCAATTCAGAGTCACTTCCCTGGGACTACAGTCAAGCACTAATGTTTACAAACAATGGCAAATTAAAAAGCATCACTGAAATTTGAATACCTGTGGAATGTCTGCCCAGCTTTAGCATGCGTAGAGCCCTGAGCAGCCTCAAGACCTGCACAATGCGCCCCACATTTTCCAGCTCCTGTGTAGTCTGGCTCCCACTCAGGCTCTCTACCAGAAGAGTGATGTAGAAGGGCAAGATGGCAAGGAGGTCTATGATGTTCGGCACCTTCCTCAGGAAGCGGCACCTGGCCCGCACGCACAGGAGGCGCAGGATGAACTCGCCAGTGAACCAGCTGATACACACGTACTCCAGGATTTCCAGCAGCTGCAGGTCCAGCCAGCTTAATTCAGCTGACATCAGGGCCATGTTGACGATGGACACCACCACAAAGATGATGGAGATGACCCCAAAGATTCGAGCAGCTGTGGAAGATCCAGGTTTCTCCAGGATGTTCCAGAGCTTCTGGCGGACAGTGGGACAAGGTCCTTGTGAGAAGTCCTGTTCGCTCTCATGTTGACTCTCCTGGTCTTCTGTGTCCTTCTTAAAGTCTAACGTTTCACTCAGCTCCTTCCTTCTGAAGTATCTTTTAGAAAAAACAACTTGGTGATTAGTCTAACTTTTTAAAAGTACAGAAGTAAAAAAAAAAAAAAACAAACAAAAAATAAAAGATTAAACTTAGCAAAGAGGTCATGCTTTTTTATTTCAATAAAATGCAGAAAATGTCCATTCAAATTTTACCCGGGCTGTCTCCTGCCCACAGTACCACAAAGTTCTCATTTAAGATTATTATTTTTAAAATGGTACTTTCTTGTTAGACGTTTATACAAAAGGATTTATACATAGCAAGTCTACTTTAATGCATTTTATTACCCATTTTTCTTGTAACAAGAACAGAAGTTTGTCCTATGGAACCTTTTTGTGTGTGTGATGTAAAGGTATTCATGAAGAAATGGTACCAATAGCAAAATAAAAGGAAAGTCGTCATCAAAGTCCCAGAAACATTCACAGTCAAGGAACCAACTTTCTATCTTCTGTATTTAAAGCAGTTCTCCACCCAAGTCTCAAGTTAAGGGTTCTCAGTGATAAATGATAATGCTCCCTAGTGAAACCTACATCCCTATACATGCATCTTCTGGATCATAGCTTTTCTAACTCACTCAATCATCAAGTATTTATTGCAGGCCTGACCTCCTTTGTCTTAAAAACGGATTGGCACGCATTTATCCAAAAAAGGAGGAGGTTTAAAAAGTTCCAATCGAAAGCTGGCTTTGACACTTTCCGGACCCACCGCCACCCCACCTTTCAGCTCAGAAGTGGCCTCAGGTGTTTTTTAGGCCTGCGTTCCGCGAGGATTCCGAAGCCTCACATCTTATCTCTGCCGCCCTCTCTCCACTGCGCCCGCCTCCCAGCCCGGCCACCGCACGCTTCCCGGGTACCTGTCCCTGCAGCAGGAGTCGATGCTGAGCTCGTCGATGCCCCAGTATTGGATCTCCTGAAGGAAGGAGAGCGCGCACAGCTGCTCCATGACGTGCAGGCGGCCGGTGCGGTAGTAGTGCAAGACGTAGCGGAATGCCTGCGAACTGCGGTCGAAGAAGTACTCGTTGTCCACGGGGTTGGCATCGTCGCAGAGCTCCAGGGGGCTGGGCACGGCGGCCAGGGCCCCGCGGCGGCGGCACGAGGCCACCACCACGGCCAGCTTGCCCAGGCGCGTGTGCGGGAAGCAGGACAGTGCCTGCTGCGAGAGCACGAAGCGGCTGCCGCCCACGTTGACCGTGAAGCAGTCCCCGAGCGCCAGGGGCTCCCCTTCGCCCTCGCTGCAGAAAACGCTGGACTCCAACGAGGTCAGGGAGCAGCTGTCCAGCGACGAGTCCAGCGGCGCCCGCCCTCGGGAAGGCAGCTCCATCCCCGCCGCCGCTGCCTGAGGGCGCCACAAAGTTGGGGGCGCGCCGGAAGCCTCGGTCGGGCGAGGGTGGTGGCACGGCCCCTGGCGGCGGCCGGGATTTCCCTGGTTCCCGAGGGGGGTGCCTCCCACCCGCGCACCCCTGCGCTCGTTCCCCCTCTGGCCGCTAGGGCGCGGCGAGTGCGCGACAGCAGCGCACGAGCCGGGCGCGCCCAGGCTGCGGGGAGGGGAGGGGGTCGCGCCCGGGCGAGTGCTCAGAAGCGGTCCCAGCCAGGGACAGCCCCAGGGCACACCTTCCGGGACTTACGCCCTCAGCCCCCGCTAAATCTGCGAGGGAGATTCCTAGGCCGGGAGGTGTACGTATTCAAAGCCTCGTTACTTAGGGGGTGGAGCGGGCGTGCAGGGGGAGGTGGCGGGTCTAGAGTGGAGGAGGAGGACAGGATGCCTCTTAGGGGAACGAACGCACGCAAGGGGGATGGCAAGACTCACTCCAGCCCAGGAGACCGAGAGGAAAAGTTCAGAAAGCCGAGGAAGTGGTAACCGGGTCAGAGTCCTTTCCAACTTGAGGATATATATTCCTCCGTCTCCTTTTACTGCGGCGGCTTCACAGGCCTCCCCGGGAGTAGTCGCTGGGGGTATGAGCACGTGGGGGAGGGGGCGCCGGGCGAGGGGGCCGCATCATCTGCTCCCATTCATTCTCATCCTAGTCTGATTGTCACTCGCGCTCCATTTTCTTCTCCCTCCGTCTGTTTCTGACCTGCTGGTTGAGAAATTGATGATGACTTTTAACTGAAGTCCCAGTGAGTCGCCAAGAACTAGGGGTCACCATTGCCTCGTATCGAGGCACTTTGCGCCCTTCGGTTTAGCCATTTCTGCCCGAAGAAGTTTCCCGGAGAGCAGGCGTTCTGGGCGCCTTCCCCGGCGCACAGCGGAGCTCTCATTTTAGGAGAAAGGGAAGGCAGAAAGACAAGGAATAGAACAAGCGTGGGCTGGGGCAGGAGTTTAAATAGTACCGACGGCTGGGTGAAGGGAGCAGCCGAGCGCCTTGCCCAGGTGAGACCAGAGGTGTACCCACTGGGCCCCTTGGAGTCGAGCCCCAGCCCACCTGTTGGACACGGGGTGGGGGCGGGGAGGAGGACAGGGTGACTCACCTTCCCCTCCTGGCACATCAGCGCAGCGCTCAGAGGCCGCGGCTGGTTAGGTAGCCTTTGGTAGATTCTCCCGGTGTACATGTGAGGTCTGACTTGACAGGTCCAGGAGGAAAACTGTGTTCGAGGCTGAGCTCTGCACTGGCGCTTGCTGCCTAGCCTCGCCTCATCTCCGCCGCCTCCGGCTCTGGCCCCTGGGCCGCCCCCGCCCGCGCTAGCGAGCCATTCGCGGTTTCCAGCACCAGCTGTGGGGAAAGCATGGAGCCGAGGGAGGTGAGACCGGAGGAGGAAGTGAAGCACTCCGTGACTCTGAATATCATATTCATCCTGAAGACACCTCAGGATTGCTGTTTGGATTCCCGTTTCCCTGATCTGTGTGCTCACAAATGCTCAAGAACAAAATTTTCCATGTCTGCTAGACTCAGGGTTAGGGAACTTATAGTAACTGCTTTGTGTAGCACGGTTCAAGGTTTTCTCATTTCCAGCCAGCAGATGAGAATCCTGCATTTTCCAAAAGCCTTTGCAAGTGAACCGCACATCTTTTTCTTCTTGTAAGTAGTTTTAGAAAGTATGTATAAAGAGATGAGCAGGCAGCTTGGCACAGTGGGGAGAACTTTCTCATAAGTGGACTTAATGGGCGCCTGGGTGGCTCAGTCTGTTAAGCATCTGACTCTTGATTTCAGCTCAGGTCACGATCTCCAGGTTCTTGGGTTTGAGCCCCACCTCAGTCTCTGCGCTGATGGCAGGGAGCCTACTTGGGATTCTGTCTCTCCTCTCTGCCCCTTACCTGCTTGTGCTCTATCTCAAAATAAATAAATAAAAAAAAAAAAAAAAAAAAAAAAAAAGATAAATGGACTTGAAACGTGGTTGTTTGGTTCTGGCTTTACCAAATGACTGCGGAACATCCAGCTGTCATTTAGTTCCTGGACCTCCATGCCTTCCTCAGCAAACTTTCATGTTTCAATAAAAACACTAAGCATTTCCTGTGGGCTTTATGTCAGGAAATTTTGTAGGCTCTTTACTCATTCAGTACCTTATTTAGTCATAATAATAATACCCCTTTTACAGAAGGAGGAAACTGAGGCATACCCATTTTACAGAAGGAGGAAACAGGCAAAACAGAGAAATTAAGTGATTTACTTAGGGTCACACATCCAAACTCAAACTCAGGAGTAGTTATAAGAGGCTGCCCTCATAAACACAATGCTTGGGACATCTTCTTTCTGTGTGGCTTTCAAATAAATCAAAGTTGTGGTTGCTTTTATTTACTTTTTAATTTATTTTTGCAAATTTCTAATGTTAAATGATGTATTTTTCCTGATCTTTCAAAAAATGTTTATTGGGCATCTACTATACACCAGGCACTAACAGACAAGGTCCTTTTTCTTGTGGAACTAAAGTTTTTCCTGTGAGAATAAACAGCAACTTAAGTGAAAATTAAAAAAAAAATAGTATAGTATTTATAGGTTATGGTTCTCTGACAGCTATTCATTTGGTTAACTTTTGCCTCTATAAGGAGCTGTTCCATTTAGAAAATATGGAGGAGGTAAAACCGGTCAATACTTCATCAATATGTTTAGGTACTGTGTCAATTTGTCTAAGGTAGCAGAACTTCTCTTACACGGGAAGAAAAACTCCCTCAGCATCTCTATTACAGATTATTTGGGCATTGAAAAAATTCCACACTTCTGTTAAGCTTCATTCATACCTTAGTGTAAATAGCTTTCATCAGAAGATTAGTATTAAAGGTCTAACCTAATTTTACAGAGTGTGGTAGGGAAGGAGGAAAGCTTTCAGAGGAGAATGACAGCTTTAGGTGAGAAGGGAGATCTTGGACAGGTAACAGAGGTTAACAAACTGTTACTGAGGCTTGCACTGCCACCAGAACCCTAGATTTCCGTTGTAGTTAGTGGTATCCTGTAGAAGGAATCAGAACAATAACCACCTTTTAAGTGTAAGGCCCACGCTAAGTATCTGAATTCTCAGAAATGGTCCTATGAAGTAAATACTGTCTTCCTTAGTTACAGATCTCAGCTCAAAGACTCACGTGCGCCAAGGAGCTTTCCCAGTTATATAGTGAATATATATATGAAGGGATCAAAATTGGGGTCTTTCTCACTCCAGATTTCATCTCAAGTGCCAAGATGAGACGCTAAAATTTTCAGCTGGGCTTCAATTGTGGTTAATACAATTTCCACTATATAAAATAATCATAACTAGAGAGATGATGACTAGTTAACCAGTAACATATAAACACAAATGACCCATTTTAAAGTATAGAGTTCTCTTGGGTAATAAAATTTTCTGCCCTCTTCCCTGTCCTGTTCCCTGTAATCTGTTGTCCCTCCTCCATTGATTCCCAGGTTTGAGTCTGAGAGTCCAATGAAAATGCAATGATAAATAAGGGCAGAAATAAGTCCATTCAAAGGATGTCCTTCCTGGTCCCTGATCTTGACCTGAGGTATACCCTAAAATATGTCAAGAAGTGAAAGGAGAATTGCTGATGAGTACTTGGGGGTGGTGAGGTCTTGCTTTCAATTTCCTTCCTACAAAGCCTGGGAGGAATGTGACTGTCACGTAGGAGGCAGCTCAGTACTGAGATGTGAAAACTCAACATTGTAATGACTTTGGGTATATTTTCTCTAGTTATCAGATGTTATATTCAGGTGATTTTCCATTGACAGTCTTGTTAGAAAATGCTCTACTGGTGTTTGGCTTTATCTATCAAGTCTTCTAAACATTGATTTGAATATTAAATCTCCAGGTACAACTAACTGCTTTTAGTTCTTCCAATTTTTGTGAATATTTCTAAATATATTAATGAACAGCATGCATTCTTAACAGTCCTGTTTTTATTTTATTTTATTTTATTTTATTTTATTTTATTTTATTTTATT